CTGTTTGCCGGCATTGGCTGCGGTCGCTGTGTATGAAAGGTGATGCCTGTGGTTTCCTCCACCAATATGATAAGTCTCGAATGCCTATTTGCAGGTTTTTTCGACTCTACGGAGAGTGTCGTGAGCCGGATTGTGTTTATAAGCACACCAATGAGGATATTAAAGAGTGTAACATGTGAGCTTCTCCCACTGATCTGTCCTTTTCTTTTTCTTCTTTGCCATGTATTTATTACTGCAATGTTTTAACTCATGCTATTTTCTGCGGGGTGGGGGGAGAGAGAGGGAGGTAAGATATATATTTGCATACTTACATCACTAGCATGCTAGTAGGGGAAAAAGCTTTTGGATTGGAATCAAACTCATACTTACTTCAATGAGATTTGAATTTGAGACTTGTCTGTTAAGTTTTGGCCTAAGAAATTTGTGAAAATCAGGGTCAATTATCCAATTTCACAGCTTATCTGCCTTTATTGTAAATGATGTTGTAACCTGGCTAGAATGATGGCTCTAAGGTCACTGCTACACTGCATACCCAGTTTGGGGTGCATTGCCGGAAAGCTTAACCAGTACTGTGTTGCATGTTTGGACGTTTCCTTGCTGTTTTATCTTTTTGCTCTATTGTTTTTCTCTTTGTGATCCTCATCTGATAGTAGTTCTGCTGATTTGTTTTCGTTCAGCATTGCTCAATCTATGACTGCATGATCATTAATCAGGGTGTAGGTAATTTGATCTTTATAATAATGATCGTTGAGTTGCTTTCTCTAAAGAAAAGTAACTTAAACGAGGAAAAAATGACCATATTTGTTCTTTTTTCAGTTTTAGCACATAATCACCTGCCTTTTAATGTAATTTCTATAATGACAGGTATAAATTGGGATTTTGCCCGAATGGTCCTGATTGCCGATATAGACATGCAAAGCTGCCTGGACCTCCACCTCCGGTGGAAGAAGTTCTTCAGAAAATCCAGAATTTGACATCCTACAACTATGGTTACTCAAACAGGTTTTTCCAGAACCGCAATGCTAATTATTCAACTCAGGCAGACAAATCTCCTACTCCTCAAGTACAGAATGTAATGAATCAAGCAGTGAAATCTACAGCTGCAGAGCCACCCACTGGGCACCAGCACCAGCCGCATCAACAACAAGTTCAACAGCCTCAACATCACGGCGCCCCAACTCAAACACAAACTCTTCCCAACGGCCAGCAAAATCAGGCGGATAGAACTGCTATACCCCTGCCTCAAGGAACATCTAGGTGTGTTTGGAGTTTCAAGGTCTTTACTTAGGTCGTGTAGTCAGTTCATGTACTTAAATAGGTGACAATAATTTGGAGTCTTCCATGTCAACTGTAATTAGTTTATTCAGAGCCTTGTTAGAATCATAAAGGTTCCACGTATTTTCTGTATTTTCTTTATTAATTCACTTTGTCCTATTCTTCATTCCGCTGCATGCTCAGTTAGCATGCCTGAGGAACTGATACAAACTATTATGAACTCATTTTATGAGAGTTATGCTATAAATAATATATATTGTTGGCTGGTAATCTACATGCCTGAAGCACCCTACTATGTTGGGAAGTTTTACAAACCACCCAGTAGAATGATCCAATGTCCATATCTCTATTTTTTACTGTATACTTATCTGATGTCCTTGCATGGGATTTAGGTACTTTATAGTTAAAAGCTGCAACCCTGAGAATCTTGAATTGTCAGTACAACAAGGAGTTTGGGCAACTCAACGAAGCAATGAAGCTAAACTAAATGAAGCTTTCGATTCTGTGGAAAATGTCATTCTAGTTTTTTCGATCAACCGGACTAGACATTTTCAGGTAGTCTGTTTTTCACCTATCCCATGAAAAGTTTTTAGGTTTTACTTGTTATTTAACAATGCATTGTTTGATTGTAACTTGTGATGGAAGGAATGCGTCTTAGAATTTAGGACTAATTCATAGAATTTAACATGTGTATTGTTTGTTAGGGTCTTGCAAAAATGACATCTAGAATTGGTGGTGCTTCTAAAGGAGGAAACTGGAAGCATGAACACGGAACTGCACATTATGGACGGAATTTTTCAGTAAAATGGTTAAAGGTACTTTTAATTTCCTTACCTGCCCCACCTATATTAGTATTTCTTTCTCTTTTAGTATTCTTGCTTTTCCAATCAGGTGCCTTGCATGGTTGTCAGCGAAATATTTTGTTTAATTTATTAGATTCTGTTCCAGGTAGAGCTGCGGTGACAAGAAAAGATATCCGGTCCCTCTTTCTGATTTATGCAAATGCTAATTGGAAGCTATTTCATGAATGAATGTTCTGTATTTCAAGAGGATTAATGACTCCACTTATATCCCTCAAGGTTTCTGGTTTATCTCATAAGCTGTTCACATGTCAATTGACCTCAACAAAGGTTGTTTGACCACGATTTAGGCTCAATCTCCCCCTCTTTTAAATTCATAGGACTTACGGAGAGTTGATTTGTGTGGTTTAAAATTGTTGTCAGACTAGACCAGTGACTGTTGAACTAGTTAGGGCAGCCGGTGCACTAAGCTCCCGCTACGCGCGGGGAAGGACCAGACCACAAAGGTCTATTGTACTAGTTAGATGAGTCACAAATCAGTGCAACCAATTATTCAACTCCGGATTTTCTGTTAGATGATTTGCTGGTTTGGCTGATTAAAGAAAAAATGTCATTCAGAACCTCTCCCCTATTTAAATTACGCTTGAAATATTTCATGTATTTAAAATATGCATCACCAGTTATGCAATCAACTGGCTCCTTTAGCTTTGCAAGCCATCGGCTAGATGAATTTTGATTTTATTTTCTGTCAGTACTGCAGGATGATCTGATGAGTACATTGGTATCTTGATCAATGATTTGTTTAACTCGCTGTGTAGTTGGAGCCTGGAGTTCTTGCCTCTTACCTTGTTGCAATATAAACTGATAAAACTCTATGCATATAAGTACCATAGGAGAGAAATCCTTTTTCTTTTTGTTACCCCTTCTGTTTCACTCGAGGACTTTTGATCATTTTCCAACTCTAACACTTACCAGTTATCAATCAGTGGCAGAGGCTTTTAAAGTCTCTTCTTTTTCTTCCTCCTTTTCTAAGTGGAATTGCTTGCATACATGAGGCTTAAAGTTCACAGATTAATTCTCTTCTTTTCTTACCCCCTTTTTACATCACAGAATTGCTTGCATACATGAACTAACTCTGAGGTTTAAAGTGCAGCTCTGTGAACTGTCCTTCCAGAAAACTCGCCATTTGAGGAATCCATATAATGAAAACTTACCTGTGAAGGTATATTTAAGCCTTTACTCATTGATTATTTGACATATTTCAACAATTCTAGTTTCCTCTGTGGCTGCTCTGAGCATGGTGATGTCCATAGATTGATTTCTAATGGACATTGGCAGATCAGGGCAGGACTTTGAATGTTGTTATCTGTTATGCTTACTGCTTTAATTTGCAAATTCTTCATTTATAGATGCCACTCTAGACTTCACTTTAAAGACTTGATGGACCTGACAGAACCATTTACTAGTCGAGTTTTCCCTCCAGTCAGAAATCGCACATATTGCTCTTGTCAAGTGACATCCTTAATATTTTTTTCCAGCAAGACTATCCAGCTCCACCAGAACTTCTTTGACTACCAAAAGGTCTTTTTGTTAACGACAAAGACCTTAGTACCTTGAGGTTTGGGTTTCCAGGGTTACAATTTTTTCTTTTGGCTCTTTTCCCCAAAGTTGATGCTCCACAATTTGAAGCCTTGTACTGTTGAGCAGGGAAAAGGCGAATAGTGGAGAAATAGCCGACTTACCATTGTGCTTTGAGTAGAATTATTTGAAGATCCAATTTGTGCGTAGTCAATTGAATTTTGTGGGGTAGCATGAAGTTGAAAGAAATCATAAAATAACATGATTATATAGATAATTGAAAATTAGCACCCAAAGGTGTGAGCCAGTGGTCAATGAAGTTGGTTGAAAACTATGAGGTCTCAGGTTCAAATCCCAGTGGAGACAAAAAGCACTAGGTGATTTCTTCCCATCTATCTAAGTCTTGGTGGATAGAGTTACCTGGTACTTGTTGTTGGTGGGAGGTAGCAAGTATCCGGTGGAATTACTCTTGGTGCGTGCAATCTGGTCCTGATGCTGCAGTTATAAAAAAATTAAAAATGGATAATCAAATATTAATATCTTTGGATAAAATCTTCAAATTGCAATAGAAGCATATTCTGCATGATCATGGAGGCAAGATGCGGTTCAAATACATTCTAGTGCCTATCTGAGGAGTCTCCTTTTCCCTTTCTTTAAAGCAAAAGTTCTGTTGAAAATGGAGGCACTTGCTTAAGTGCCTCGTTTTGCTCCATGAAATTCTTAGCACTAATGTTCCATTACAATTGAGAAGACCTCACAAATCCATAATTCCAGTTGGTGCATTATGTCATGTCTGCTTTGCTCTTTTAGAAGAGGACTCTGGCTGAAATGATCAGGATTGTGATGATCTTTTGTGCTTTTATAATATCTCAGCTAGTTATTAACGGTTGAAGGGGCTTTGGTTGCACAATGATGGTAAATTCTCTGAAGAGGATTTTTATATGCTGTTCAATCTGCATCTGATTGAAGAGGACACCAGAATGTTTGGAGGTCATTTTCTCGTAATATATGTTGATTTTTGTGTTGAGAGATCCATCTCATATCTATGAGCCCGTTTGGATTGGCTTAAAAAAGTGATTTTTCAACAGAAATAACTTTTAAGCCAAAAAGCAATAAGTTGGGTTAACCAGCTCATTGCTTTTGGCTTGTTTTAAGCAGTTTTTAACTTATTTTAAATACTTTTTAACTTTTCCAAACACCGAAAAAAGCTAAAAAGAACTTAAAAGCTGATTTGACCAGCTTAAAAGCCGATCCAAACACCCTCTATGTGGTAAAGCAATAGGGCTTCCTGACAACCGTAGTCAACATTTTGGTGATTGCCCAAGTGCATATCGATTGAAGTAGATTCTTCTAGGTTACCTTGACCAGTCCTTAACAAGATTGGACGGGGGCTTTCTTATCTATGCAGTTCTTTCTTAGGCTGAGGACATCTAGTTGTCTTTTTATACTCTCCCTCATCAATGGTACTTTTCTTTTCTTATTGAAAAAGAAAAAATGAAATATATATCTTAAGTAAGATACTTTACCTTTTAGCCGCAGCCTATTTTAATGCCATGGGTATAGCAACTCAAACTTTCAAATTATATTATAGAAAATAATGACAAATTACACTTCATGTTATGAAGAGCAAGTTTTTATTCCTTTTTGAAGAATAGAAATCAGTCAAATAGCCTCTTCGAATATTAGTTGCATTTCTGTTTGAGCGACTGTGCAAGTATTGCGTCAGATAATTCTCTGCTTATATGTGAACATTCTCTTTTACTGTTGGAATGAAATCATTGGTGATTGTTGCTTATGATTCCAGAGACGTGGACTTTTACTTGTCAAATTCAAAATCTCCTGTGTTTTGTTTGTTAATGTTAAAATTTGTTGCATACTATCATAACTTTCAGTCACCTTTTACTGCCATTGTTGCAGATAAGCAGAGATTGTCAAGAATTAGAGATCTCTGTTGGAGAGCAGTTAGCTTCTTTACTCTGTCTAGAACCAGACAGTGAACTTATGGTATTCCTTTTTCTTCTTTCAAACGTTAACTTAGCTTTCATTCACTAGATGGTAATTTATCCATTTTCTGGAGCTTTCAGGGGTTGTTTCCATGTTTTTGTCTAGGTATGGTACATTCAAGTTCAAATGACTAGTTCAGCTATGATACTAAAAATACTATAGTTGGGATTGAGTAACTTACGTCAATCTCGTATCCTATATTCAGTTATATACATACATTGGCTTCAATTATAGGCTTTTCTGGCTTGTAATGTCTGGTGCAATTGTTGAAAAAAAAGATCCTTACACAGAGAGGTACTTGTTTACTTTTTTTCCTTTTTATGATAGGTTTCTGTACTTATAACCCGCATATAGTGTAGTACTTATTTAGCTTGATTTGATAGTGATTAGGTTCTGCCACTTTGCGGCTTATGTACAATCAAACATGTTGTGATGAAATTACAAAATTTGGCTGCTTATGGTCCATTTGCCTTTGATACGCTCTTGGTAGTCTATGGAGCATCTATTAGTTGGAGTTCTGATAGAGGAATGCACATGGTGGATACACACACACATATGTGTGTGTATATATGTTAATGGGTATATGTACATTCACAGCACATGGTAGCTATTGGAACTTCAAAAATGACTACCTAATGCAGTTGGACTTTCTGTACAGAATTCTGATTAGCAATAAATTATTGCATTTCAGGCAATCTCAATTGCAGCAGAATCCAAGCGAGAGGAGGAAAGAGCAAAGGGAGTAAACCCTGACAATGGGAACGAGAACCCAGATATTGTACCTTTTGAAGACAATGAAGAAGAGGAAGAGGAAGAAAGTGAGGAGGAGGATGAGAGCTTTGGTCAAGCTTTTGGGCCAGCTGCTTTTGGCAGAGGAAGTGGTGGGGGAATTGTATGGCCTCCTATAGTTCCTTTTGGACGTGGAGCCAGACCTTATCCTGGGATGCGGGGCTTCCCTCCAGGTATGATGGGTGATGGATTTTCTTATGGATCAATGACACCTGATGGTTTTCCTATGCCCGATCTTTTCGGAATGGGCGGCCGACCTTTTGGACCATTTGGCCCTCGATTCCCAGGTGATATAATGTTTCACAACCGTCCTCCAGCTGCTGGTGGATTTGGGATGATGATGGGTCCAGGAAGGGCCCCTTTCATGGGTGGAATGGGTCCTGGAGCAACTGGCCCACCCAGAGGTGGTCGACCAATAGGAATGCATCCATCATTTATTCCACCTCCATCACAACCTTCTCAAAATCCTAGGGTCAAAAGGGATCCGAAAGCTCCAGTTAATGAAAGGAACGATAGATTCAGTTCAGGTTTAGATCAAGGTAGGGGTCAAGAGATGGCAGGCTCAGTTGGTGGACCAGATGAAGGAGTACGTTATCCACAAACTGGAAACAGCTTTAGAAATGATGAAAGCGAAAGCGAGGATGAAGCACCTAGAAGGTCCAGACTTGGGGATGGAAAGAAAAAGAAGCTTAGCATGGATGGAGATGCTACAACTGGCACAGAAAAGTAAGTTCTGTTAGAAACCCCGAAGAAGCCATCTTGCCTCTGCAATTGTCTGACAGATCCCAAAACGTGGAAAACACATTATAACTAGTTTTGGAAAGTGAAAACCTAGCAATTAGTGTCTTTTGTATACTACACTACATATGATATTCCATTCCGGAGCTCACTAGTTCTTTGCTTGCTTGTTCAAAGAGCACCCCTGCCTGCAGTATATTGACCCAACTTATGAAAAAGCCAACTTAAGTATATGTCAGTGGTGTACAAGTTATTCGGTCATTATTTCGCAAACATATTTGCTTCTCTAATTGTAAAACTGATTTACAGTTACAGGTTAGGCTAGATACAGCAGAGCTGGGCTTTATTTTTTTGGCAAGGTCCTGCCTGTCTGTTAATGGAGCATTGAAATGTTGATGAGAGGTCCTGTAACATGATTAGAAGTTGATGCATTAAATCACTTTCTAACTATGATCTATTGTGGTTTCTGATCAATGCAAAACCAGATTAGCAAGTTTGTTTCTTTAACTACTTCAGCCCCTTTGGAAGTTATATTTGTTTCCATAGCATCAAGATTGAGGCCCCAAGATCATGTCTCCAGTTTCTTCTTGGTAGTATTTAGAACGTATATATATGTCTTTCTATTAAGTATTTTAGTCTTCCCTTGTGGTAACTTGCTGTAACACTGCAATCTAATGTTGCTATTTGTGCTTCCTAACCATTCGCAAGAGAATTCTCTCTAGAACAGTTACCTTACCAGCCATTAGATAATATTGCAGAAACAGGAAACTTGAGGCTGTGATAGTGTAATTACTATTCATAATAAAATTATGCTCCCACTTTGCTATTGCTGGACTGGATATATGGCAGAATTACTAAGATTTATCAAGCCAAATGAAATTCAAGTTCAGTAAAAATTTGGAGGTAAAGTTAGTGACTTTGTAGTTAACAAAATAATCTAATGACTTTTGTGATAGTTAAGTAAATCGAATAACTTTTGTGTTATAAAAGATAATTTAGTAACTTTAGAATAATAAAATGAAAAATTGAGTGGCGTATGAAATTACAGCTCGTTAGGATGATTGTTACCTATTATATTGTATCGTATTGTTACTTTAAATACAATGTTTATCTTGATTGTTATTTAAATTTTATTGTATCGTATCGTTAAATCCATCGTTACGTTACGACGAAAAATGCCACTTTATGAAATAACCGATTAAGTGTGGTCACGTTGTTATCTTATTTTTTCCTCTCATCTTGGTCTTTCATATTATTAAATAATCCTATTTTACTCTATACCTAACTCTTTAATATAATAATTTTATTGTTCATATTATTGGGGCACGAAGGCAAACAATAGGCAAACATTAATAAAATGATACAGTACAATATATTTGAAATGATACCTAACAAGCATCCAAACAACCACTTACTCTAAAAAGTGTACGTTGGTCATTTCACAAAAAAGGAAAAATACGGTGAAGAGTGGTTGGATAAGAGGCGACAGTGGAGTGGCATAAGGGAGGCTTTTGAGAGTTCTCTCTAAACGTAGCAACTCTTGAAATGCTAATTGGCTCGCACAGCTTCTTGGCGCCAACTCTCTTTCACTGTAACCCCATAGGAGCCTTGTTCAATTTCTCCTCCAAAAGAATCATCTCAATCAATAATGGGTTTCGTTCTATTACTCCAATTAGTCTCTTTGTACCTGCAGGTTTTCTTCTTTTTGTACTTTTGCCGTTACCTGTGTTGCTTTTTCTATTTTCTAATTTTTTGTAGCTCTTCTTTCCCCCCCAACTTTCCTAGCTAGTTTGAAGAGAGATGAAAATAAGGAGGCAGATGATTTTGCTCAACTGAAGGAGAAAGTGGAAAATGTGGGTATTATATGCTGCAATTCTATTATCCCTGGAGAATACACTCGATTAATCTGTCCCAAGGTATACGTGTGACATTTTATTTGGTGTTTTTCTTGATTTGTTGCCTTCCTTTTTCTTTTTCCTTTTCTTCTCTATGAGTATCAAGTGGTAAGAATCCATTAACCATATTTAGCCACACCAACTAGTTGAAAATCCCTACCTTCTAGCCCACACACACAGTAGTAAAGAAAATACTAAGAGCTGAGCCCCCTGGGCTCTGGTCTAGTGGTAAGGGTAGAGGTGCCGGCTCATTATCAAGTGAGTTTCGAACCATGCACCAGAGGCCCTCAGGGCTCATTAAGGTTTATGTTGTGCTATGGAATGTCAGGGAAAAGGTCGAAACATTTTTGTTGGAACACATGGCAACTGATAGAAAAATAAATTAAGTTTTGCCATGGATACTCTCTCTCTCTCTCTCTATATATATATAATATAAAGCTAGACATGAACCCCTTTATTGCTTGATGGCAAATCGGGAAGGAGCACAGTGGTCAACTTTTCTGAGTGAAATAGACATGATTTTACTTCAGAAATTTGCTTCTTTATAGTTTGTGTTTCTCGGTATTCAAGGGGAAGTCGACCCATTATCTACTGAGATTCTAACCTTATTCTGATTGATACATGTTCGTCTTTCATCAAACATGTTCGTCTTTCATCAAACCTTTACATTAATGATTTAGATAAAAAGATCCGATTCTATACCTTTGTATTTATTTGTTTCTTCTGAAATAGTGCAAAGGTGGTCGGTCGATGGAAAGGAGTTTATCGTTTCATATATCCGGGAAAAGGTATCATAGTTCCTTTGTTCAGTGATGCCCTCCTTTTACAAGCAACTAACGTTACGTCAAACTTGATTTTGTGGTCATCAAGGAATTTCGCATTATGGAGGTGTTTCAATTTTGAATGTGGATGGGCAGGCCAGGTAGTTTAATTTATGGTTTAATAAATTTGATCACATTAATTTCGGAGAGCTAGAAGTCAAATCACCTCATTGGATGTTAATTCTGGAGACAGGTTTTCGCACACAACAGCACGACATCAGAGGGGGTCGATCAACTTGGCAGAATGGGTTCTCCTCGGATACTTACGGAGGAAAGCTTGAAGTTAGAACCATTAGGTGATATGGTAAGGAAACTTTCTTTTGCTAGCAGCTCATCACTTCTTATTATAGATGAAGTCCATAAGAAAATTCTCAACCATGCATACTCTAAATCTGGTGGTAGCATTTTGTATTCTAAATCTTTAGCACCAGGCAAAAGATTTTCGACAATGCGTTCTCTAAGCTTGATGTAAAGCAAGATCCCCTTTTCATTTATTTTTCTAGAGTAAGTAAATTTATTAACAAAAGAAACACCTTCTAATAGAGACTAAGCTCCTACATAAGCTATAAGGAATCAATTGCATTCCTTGTTTTTGCATTTTTCATTACACCACAAAGCTAATTTTTGCAAACATCTAAGTTTGATACAATGGAAAACGGTCTTCCCTCAAAATGTAGTTTCTTTCCATTCATACTGTTATGCACATTGGCGTGGCACTTCAAATGGTTTTGAGTTGTCTCAGAACTCTTGATTCTCTCAAACAGTTGATTGGAAATGTATATTTCTTATGTTACTATTTGATAAATTCATCATTATTAGGCCTAATTAGAGCAATCAAATCAAATCTGTAATAATTTTAACAAAAAAAAACTGATTTTTTTGTTAAAAAACAAGACACCCTTTTTTGTTTATTACCTATGACTTTTGGGTGTATTGCAGCTGGCTGCATATTTTGCTGAGAGAATGATATCAAAGGATACTCTGAAGAGAAATCATGTCATGCAAATGGCTGGTGATCAGGTCAGGCAATGTTATTGCGTTATGATTCGGTAGAGCTTTTGATTGTTAAAAAGGTGCATCCAAATGCACTGGGCACTCATGAGAACAATGGACAATGTCATTGCATTATTATGTGGTAGAGCTTTTGATTATTAGAAAAATTAATCCTGCACGTTCAATGGGCATTAATGATATCAATGCATATTTTAGATTATTTAGTTGCTTAACATGTATACATGGACAAAACTCAATGTTTTCAAGAATGAAGCTTCTGAAAAACTGCACTGAAATCATTAATGGTTTTCAGTGCAACCTATGTACTGATTTTTATAATATATACAATAGTTACCAATTCAAAAAAAAAACTGCACTGAAATCATTAATGGTTTTCAGTGCAACCTATGTACTGATTTTTATAATATATACAATAGTTACCAATTCAAAAAAAAAACTGCACTGAAATCATTAATGGTTTTCAGTGCAACCTATGTACTGATTTTTATAATATATACAATAGTTACCAATTCAAAAAAAAAACTGCACTGAAATCATTAGCTTTACGATTGCAAGAATCTTCAATTTATCTTTTAGCACATTCACCTGAGTCCAAGGTAAAAACATGTATTTGTAGGGGAAGATTGACATGAGTATATCAAGGCAACAGATTGATCAAGCTTTGACTTAAAATATAGAAGAGCAAGAAGAAATACTATAATTTTCGGGATGTTAATAGTGGCTAAATTATGAGTCAAAGAACAAATTAACAAAAACCATGATAAGGTTCAGTAACATGGAAAACAAGTAGGACTCAAGAAACATGAAGTTCATATGAATGGCTTCCAAGCCAGCATACTTATCAAGCTGAACTTTGACGGAGTTTTGTGACAGTAACTTAGCAGTGTATTGTCTTCTTCAATGGTTTCTTGATGCTAGATAGGTTATTATTTGAGGGATTCATCACTTGTTTCGAAACTGGAAAGTATTATTTTATGGCTACATTGTGGGTGGAGATATGAATTGTGTGCCAATATTTGGGTGATTGCAGATCATCATTGCCTTCACTTATACACAGAACGGTATGCTCATTGGCTGCAAGTATCGGACTCTTGAGAAAAGGTTTTGGCAGGTACATTCGTTCAGTAAGTTATAGTTCTGACTGTCTGCATGGAATACTGGGGAAGCATGTGAAAACATAAGTGCCATTAATGCTTAACTATATGCAATGCATGCTTCCCTTTCTTAAGCTAAATTAGTCTTGGAAAGGTAAAAGGTTTTTCGATGAGCAAACTCTTTAGCTTTGAATCCCTTTTAGTTTAAAAAAAAAGAAGATATTTGAGGCCTTGGACGAAATTAACAGTATAGGATCTTGCAACAAGATGGGGATTGTTTGTCATGCTAATATATATGACACTTAGGATTGTTTCGCAGTAATATTCATCACAATGTCCATAGTTGTTCCCTTACTTTTGGTTTGGGACTCTTTTGAATGAATTTAGTGTATCCTCTGTTCAAACGTTTCCGAACATTACATTTTGTGATGTCAAGTTGAGAGTATTTTCAAGCTTCCAGTTAGATCTGCTGCTTTCACCACCATTCAATTCTCTGAAGGAAAATTGGATACATTCTGGAAAAGAAGCTGTTACTTTTCCTTGTTTTCCTTGTGCTTTATTAATCAACTTCTACTTTCATTATCAGGAGAAGGGTACAGATAAGGCACTTTATGGACTGGATGATGTAAGGGAAGCAGATGAGATCATCATTGTAAGTTTCAAAACTCTTGTTTCTCAGATATGTATTTCTGGCTACTGACTAGATTTATATTTGTATTGCTGACCAAAGGTAGAAGGTGAAATAGATAAGCTTTCGGTGGAAGAAGCTGGATTTCTTAACTGTGTCAGTGTTCCTAATGGTGCACCACAGACCATCACATCCAAGGAACTGCTACCACCGGAAGAGGTTTGTGTTATTACATAAATGTTTGGGCATAATGTGCAGAATCAATGGCATTCATGAAGATATTTCTCGCGTTTCTTACATCATCCTTTGCAAAGAGTTTTGAAATATATGTTTTCTTACTGAAAGCACCAGCTCATATTATACATACCATGTCATATATCCCATTTAAATCTTAATAAATTAAGGGAATGTTCATACATTTGGAATAAATTACATGTTTTTGACCTTAGAAGAACTTTAGAAGTTCGTTATGAATTGTCTCTCGTTCTTTCTTTGTACTTTTTGCCCTTAGGGATTTCTCTGTTATAAAATAAGGAGCAGGTATGAATGAAATAAATATTCAAGAGCAACTTATTAAAGTATCAAATCATCTACCTTGCTGCAATTGATACATCACAGAACTCTCATCATCTTGCTTCTTGAGAAGTACTTTTCCAACAAGAACAGGATTCAGTTAGATACTAATGTTGTACTCTCCGTTGGGAAGTAAAGGGTATGCTAATCATCTTAGAAGCTTTGATTTCATTATGTTTTCTACTTTTCCCCTATTTGATTATCCTTTACTAATTGCTTGAACAAAGGAAGAAGAATACAGTTGCATTTAAGGCTATTGGCTTAGAGTTCTGTTTCTACTACTCTTGAATTGCACAGTTTATGACGTGTTTATCACGCTTAGCTTTTCTGTGGTTTACCACTTACTCTTAAATTATCTGAGATTTAGGATTATACTTTCCAGCTTAATTTTTCTTCTTGCACCTGAAGACAGGATACCAGATTTTCATACCTGTGGAACTGCAAAGATTTCTTGGATAAGGTTGGCATTTTTGATGCTTGCATTGAACTGAGAACACTCAGCAAAATATATGATTCTAATGTCCTTGCTCATTTTCTTTTTCGTTTTACCTTAAATTCTGCTCAGGCGTCCCGGATTGTGCTGGCAACTGATGGTGATTTACCAGGCCAAGCATTGGCTGAAGAACTTGCCCGCCGTCTAGGGAGAGAAAGGTTTTGTTCCCTCTTTCCCATGTGTTTATATTGCAGTCCTTTTCTCTATGTCCCAGAATGTTGTCTACTTTCTTAAATGGAAAATTTCTCCTTGCACTATTTGTCTTTGTTGGGTGAAATGCACAGATGCTTCTACTTGTAACTCTCATTTCTTCAATCCGTTCATCCAGACCAAAGCCTTTATTCTTCATCGACGGGTCAGCAACTATTCAACATTAGTTGACTTCGCTTGATTTTGCAGGTGTTGGCAAGTATGTTGGCCTAAAAAGGATGAATTTAGCAGTTATAAAGATGCAAATGAGGTGAAGCTCTTTTTTCTTTTCTTTTTTTCTTTAGGGTGGTTGTCATCATATTTCTTTCTTTCTCTGTTTTGATGATGCATTTCATCCATGTAAATTATTTAATTATTATTTCCTTATAGATGTACTGCAGGAAATTTAAACAAGGGTCAAGAAGAACAATGCCCTCATTAAGACAACTACATGAAAGATTTGAACATTAAGTGTATAATTATGGTCTGCATGTGGTCGAAACATAGATTTCTAGAGATTATGGGTTGTCACTCATTTAATGTTGTCAATTTGGCCTACATGTTTTTCCATAAGCAAATGAATTTGTTGGAATATCATCCTGGGGACCGAACCAGTATACATCAATAATATGTTGATGCATGGTGTACATTAGCTGCTTAACCAACTACCATTCAGGTTAAACATTGGCCAACTTATCCCCTAACATTACCATATCCATACATGTGACCAAGGAGAGGTTTCTCATAGAGATAAAGCTCAGAAATGAATGGGAAAATAGCATGCTTTAATCAAGAAGTTATCTGGTTAGCCTTTTGAGTATTGGCGCATCAGAGTGAACTTTGATAGGTAAAAGGATTTGAAAGGATATTGGAGGTACTGGTCATGACTACGAACATGCTCGGAGATCTTACTTATCCAGTAGATATTTCGAAATACACAAAATAACTAGGAAAGGAAAAGAGCAGGAAATGCAGTTGACATCCCACTAAAATTACGGGGTCCTTTATTGTTCACTTTGTGGATGGTTGTAAACAATCTCTCTGCCCTTCCACGGTAGGGGCAAGGCTGTGTATATCTTACCCTCCCCAGACCCCACCTGTGGGAACTCACTGGTTTGTTTTTGTTGTTGTTGTTGTGGATGGTCCGCAGTTGTCCTAGTCCAGTGTTTTATTTAGGGATTTCATGTGCACATTGAATATTCAAGCAATGCTTTACTTATTCAATCTGGTTCACATCAGGTAACTATGTTACTGGAATTAGAATATTGGAGAAGTTTACTGAAGTTTAATGGTTAAGAATCATATTTGTTACTGTTATTTTTATGGGTGTTTTCTTCTATGTCCCAGAGAAATTAGGCAAATTTTTTTAGGTTAGACATAGTTAAGGAACATGCTGTCAAATTTCTGTTATGGTTTTGGTAATCCAGTGAAACCAGTGTTGTTTTTCCCCTTTTGCCAAATTCAAGACCTCTGCTATCCATTTGCTAATGCATTACTGCTTCTGTTAGGCAAACTACATTTAAAGCTTTCAATAAATTGTTGTAGGTACTTGTAAATCTGGGAGCAGAAGCTTTGAAAAAAGCGATTGAATGTGCTGTGCCATATGAAATGCAGGATTTAAACTAATCCCCCAAGCTCTCTAGTCTTAAGGTAAGTGTTCCAAATTTGAGACTGCGCTAACAGTTGTAGTCTTTCCATTATTTTTGCTGCTCTTACTTTCTCTACTTCTTTCTACTTTTGTCCTTTTCTTAATCAGGATAACAACCAATCAAAATATTCTGATAGAAAGAAATCTTTTCAACAGTACCTGACTCTCTCTCCACAAGACTATGTGTCTACTGTATATGTAAGTAAGATTACTGAGGATGAAAACTTGAAGCAATTTTGTCAACATTTACATTTCCCTTTTCAAAAGTTTTGTATTCTCCTTTAACTCTTGAATTTGAATATCTCGAAAGTGTTCAAATAGAGGGCAGGTTGGTAGATGTACCCAACACCTCTCCTGTGCGGGCCTAGGTCCAAAACGGACAATATCACTAGTGGGTTGGGCTGTTATAGTAGATGAACGGTTTTTGTTCTCTACTTGGAATGAAGGTTTTTGGGACATCTTTACAAGGTAACTTGTTATATGATGCTTTCCAACGATCGAGGAATGGAATTGACTTGGATACATGTTTAACACTGTTGGGGAGATGGATTTTCTTATAATGTATATTTTTTATATTTTTATTTATTTATTAAAATAATGTTAGTTTATGTCCGTAACTCCTAAAGAAGTAACAACCAAACGTGTAACCAAGCACTTTATTTTGAAATGGAGGTGATATATCTACACAACTGAGTTGTATTATGGAGGTGTTTACAGTAATCTACCCAATATTAAAATTTGCATCAAATAGAGTTCAAAAATTGAAAGTGCGACATCTAATATTGCTTATCAAATGGATTTTTTTTCATGCTTATCAAATGGATTGATTGCAAAAATTCCCAATTCCCAAAATACTTATCTGGAATCCTATTTTGGCATCAACGTATCTCAGAATAAATAGATTTTGAAAGTTTGGTCAAAAAGATAAATTCCCACTTTTGAAAAAAATTATAACGTTAACTGTGATATACTGAAGTACCAGAAGTTGCCTAGTAACCTTAATCATGCTAAAGATCCTTTATCATTTTAAAATAAAGCTTTACCGAAAATCAGAGATAAATCTAATGTTATGATAAAGTTGAACTTTTGTCGGTATTAAAACAGGTTCATATTTTGAGGCCAATCAAAAATATATAAAAAGGGGCAAAAAACAGAAGTGAAATAAGCAATTCATGTCTTTGACTAAAGGCATTTGTTTAAAGCAGGTGCCGACGAGCACCACGTGAATATCTATCAGTTGTTCATCACCGTCAGTGACAAGGGACAACAAAGGAGTGACATAATTAATTAACCAACCTTAAACCCAAACGGAAACAAAACAACAAAACAGAAGGAAGGTATGACCTTAAAAGGCTAAATCTGTGTATAGCCAGAGTGAAGAAAGTTACTTTGATCAAATCGTGAAAGTTTCTATCCCGTTCGAGTAACCATTAAGGCGATAGATAGACGGAATTTGAAGTATGATTTTCAACTCTTCATCGAACTCATAGCTTGTCTTAGTTATTGGATTTATAATTAAATTTTTTATATATAATTAATAATTTTTTACATGATCTATCGGGAACAGTTTCTTGACCTTCGCAAGGTAGGGGTAACGTCTCCATATACTCTAGTCTCCCTAAACCCCATTTTGTAGGATTGCATTGAGTTTTTTATTGTTGTAGTAATAGTTACATTTAATAATTTTTTTAATAAAATATTGGATCTAAGCAAAATCTATTGGGTTCGTTTGACTCAGCAACTAATACTCTAGCTCTGCCCATTACGTCGAATGAACATGGAGTTAAGTCAATTAGTCAACATAACTTGTAGATTGAAAGGGTACTGCCGGGGGAGCAAGTAACAGCTTGAACGTTAACTTAATGTGTCGAGCTTTTAAGTCGGCCATTGTCAGTTGAATTTGCCAACTAATGATTCCCAAATGAAAGTAAACGATAACACCTTGAAAAAATGTACTCCATATTAAGTTATACGATAATAAAATAGACCTTAAGCTAATTAAATTAATGAACCTCGAAGGTAACAATGTACAAGAAACTACATCTAATTAATATTCACATTAATGTTGGACTTCAGCCCTCTATACCTTAGGTTGAAAAGCTATAACGAAATAATGAAGTATTAAAGTTTATAACTTACTATGGTGACTGTTTGACCAAAAGATGTCAAAATCTTTTTGATTAAAACAACTAATGAAGATGATGAGGTCAATCTTAGTCAAGCACAATAAAATCTGGATCAAATGGTGGAAAGAGTAAGCAAGATGAACGATGTAATAAGTATGTTCAAATCGAATAAATGCTCATAAATGTGAAGACTTAAATGCACAAGAGAATCTTAACAGGCACAATTGGTGTAGGAGGGAACAAGTATGAGATGATTGGGGAATCTTAGGATCTTTCTCAGATGAACAAGACTACTTTTGCATTCACTCTCAGATGATTCTTTTACAAAGTGTTCTTGTCTTTTTTCTCCCGCCCCCCTCTTCTTTACTCACCCTTCCTATTTATAAGGGACAATCTCCCAAAAAACCCTAAAAAGTACAACATAGAGAATATTCAAAAAGCATATTCTTATTGTCTCCCACTAAATTTACACTGTCATGGATGTTATGCATCGACTGACCGCCCTTAGTCGTTACCTTTCACCACGACGACCATCAGACGAGTTATCATGATAGCATCGTTCCTCGTCCTACATGGTAATGGTCGTGGTTGCCAAATTTGGACCCATGTAGTTAGTCCCTCCGCTTGTTGAGGTCGCGACCCTGTGTGCCCTTGATAAGCGGACGTCGCCCATACCCGCAGAGAAATTTGGCGGTTAGATCGTAATGGTTTGATCAATAACGAAAGAACGATGCGTTCCACAACATCCCAAATAGTGTAGCCTATCGGGAAATGACGTCACTCCCACGTGCGTCATCATTATGCGTCTTCCCGAGACAGAGGCTGATTGGCTTGTCGCTTTGGTTTTGGTGCCACTAGCAGCCTTTCGCTTCGATTCTGGCGCCATCCAACCTTATAAATAGATGAAGGTTTGGCTCTTTCAAGAACTTTTGGTCATTTCCTCTCTAGTGTATGTATTATCTTCTTTGGCCATCTCTTCTTGTATCTTCAGCTCTACTTTCGTGATTTTTCTTCTCACCTTCTTCCGTTCATCGTTCTTTGTTATGCGTTTTATCAATATACCCTCTGCCATCGAAATGCCTAGACCACGTCATTCCCACGAAAAGATTTCCGACGCCACCCCGCTTTCCATAGCGCCTCCCCTTGGTGGTGAGGATATAACAGTAAAGGAAGGGGACAACTTTCCCACCACGGAGGAGATACTACCGAGAAACCTCATGTCTCGGAACGACTTTCCTAAAGAGCCTGTTCCTTCTCCTACTCCGGCGAATTCTGAGACTGAGCAGGCTCACATAGATGACATTCGATCTACGTATAACATTGCCTCCCATGTTGAGATGGTTCCGGCTGGGAGTGACTTCGTAGATTTCCACAGACCGGGTTATTGTGCCTTTTACATGTACCCCTTTGTGATCGGCCACTCCCTCCCTTTTCTTCCGTTAGCGGAGGAAATCTGTCGGTTTTGTGAGGTCTGTCCGGCGCAACTTTCTCCGTACACGTACAAGATATTTTTGGTATTGATGAAGTACGCGGAGTTGGCGGGGTGTGAAGTTGGCCTTCATCACTTCTACATTTGTTTTCCCTTAGTTTTCATAGGGGAACTATGATACATTTGAGGCAGCGTGGGACCAGGGGGCTGGTGGTCAGAACGGACGACCGGGCAAGCTGCAGATTTTGGCATAAATACTTTTTTGTTAGAACCAAACATCTGGTGTCGGACCCCACTGGATTCCCAAAACGGTGGAATCATAACCGTAGGTGTTGGTACTTGTAGTTTACTTTTGTTCTTTCCAACTTTGTACTTATTTGTAACTTTCCCATGCACCTGTGAGGCATATACCTCATCCCATCACCAGTATCGAGGACTGGGTAGCCCGCTTATTACCTCACACAGTGGAAACTCGAGATTGGTCCGCTTTCATGAAAATGCTTTGGGCCGAAGGTTCCATCTGGTAAATGTTTTTCATTGTTTTGACCTTTTGCTGTTTGCCACCGTTTATTGATACGACTCCCTGTGATGACAGGTCGTAGGGATTCTAGGAAGAAGGCCCCATTCTCTGCATTTTGCCAGGCCGTCGCATCAGTGGGGATGCAATTTATCTTGGCTGAGTCTGTCCGAGGGGGCCGTGCTCAGTCCGTACAGGCTAGAGACTCCTTTCGTGATATGATTGTTCGGGATGAGATCTCCTCCCGACTAGTCTATCACCTTATGGACGATCCCTCTATTGGGGATGAATCTCCATCGAGAAAAAGGAGGAGGGTAGAACTTGGGAAAAAAGTTGCCACTGATGTTGGAAAGAGCAGAACTGGTGCGTCTGAGAAGACACCAATACCTGTTTTTATGGCAGATGCCATTTTGGCAGGAAGGTGTCCTCGGACCGAAGGAATATATCAAGGAGGGGGATCTGAGTTCTCTGTCGAGGGTGGAGCATCATCTGCCGTTGGAGAAGGCATACATGCCGAGGGCGATGGTTCGGGTTCGGATGTCGACCCAGAAGATGTACGAGAGTTCTTGGACCATCATACTCGTGTAGAAGTAAGGACGGAGGGTTCTGACCGACATATTGTCGTTCCTGGATACTACGACTTGTTGTCAAATAGTGAGCAGGCGGCGTTGGTGTTTGCCCCCTTATGCGCTGCTTCTAAAAGGGCGACACTTAAGGCGATGAGCGACGCGGAGTTGTCACGGAGTGTTTCCGGCATGGCTCTACGGGTAAATGCTTTGTTTTTTTCTTTTTGTTTTTGGTTCTGTTTTGTATCCTTAGCCCATTCTTTGTTTTGACTTTGCTTTTTATACTAGACCCTCATCATGGAGATCGAGCGTGAACACAAAGATAGGTGGAGGATGGCCATTTATGGGAAGATGACCGCCAAATATCAAGAATACCGCTCCAAGCATCGTACGTTGGTCGATCTCTTTACTTAGGATAGTGACTTTCAGCTATTCCGTGACGGGCTTAAACAAAAGGAGAATTAATTGGCGCAGCAGGTCGAAGAGCTGAGGGAGAGAGATGAGGAACTGATGAAGTCCATTGCCCGTTGTAGTGAACTTGGGGCGACTCTTCAGGCCAAGAAAGATGAGCTCGAGCTGAATAAGGGGGTGGTGGCCGATGATAGCAACTAGGTTGGGAATCCAAACTATAGTAAGAATTTGAGAAGTAAATCCGGAAGCAATAACAACAAGGAATTGAACAACTAGAATTAAAGAGACGAAAATAAAGGATATGG